CCCCCCCCCCGATGTTTTAATTTCATATTGAGACTCTAGGTTTTTTCCCTCCGTTTCTTTGTTTGAGAAATAGTAAGACATTAGTTACTCATGCAATTTATGCTGCTCTGCAGGACCAGGCAGTTGATCGACTGGCAGAATTAAATAGTCTACATCAAGAACGACTAAAAATGCTGCAACAGTTATCTGATATCCGGGTTGGAATTATTTAAACATGGTTTATTCAGTCCTCTGTTTCCTTATAGTAGTTGTGAATGTTTATTGAGATAGCCTGAAACTCTCAACACAAGAGTTCATTTATGATCTGATTTACAATTTTTATTTATGTTATTGACAGAATAGAATGAAGAGTGTGAAGTCCATTTCATCTTCACAATCGTATCTTTTATTGAGAGATCGGATAGAAAAATTAAAATCAGAAGTATACGAGCAGCAGGCTTTATTTGAGAAACTACAGGTTGTAAACTGGTCGGTAGTTGCATTATTGCCTGAATTTGCCATTTATTATGTGTGTTTTTTTTTTATGCTAACACATTTCTTGCCAACTTCAGATTGAGAAGTTTAATATTACATGGAGGGAGAAGGAATTAAATATTAAAAATAACATACTTGATATCTTGAGGAGATCGTCTACTGTCTCTGATACAAGGATTAATGATCTGGAAATGCTGATTCAGAAACAGAAGGATGAAAAAAGGTCAATTGAGAGCAAGCTGGCTGAAGTATTGAAAGAACCAGGTTGGATGGTATTTAATGCTTTTCTCCGATCATAGAATATATATTACCCACCCATGTTGATCTAGTGGTTTTTGCATCCTGATGGATTGCTTTTTCTTCAGGAAGGAAAAAAATTGTCTCAGAATTTAGGGCATTGGTTTCTTCGTTTCCAGAAGCAATGGGCTCTATGCAAAGTCAGTTACATAAATTCAAAGAAGCTGCTACAAATGCTCATTCTGTGCGGGCAGACATGCTATCTCTTTCTAGTATTATTGATAGAATGGTAGGTAGAGTTTGATTATGCTACACTTGAAAAGAATTGAACGCTTGTCATAATTTCTTTTGGCTTGATGCAGGAGAAAGAGTGTGAAAGTTTGTCATCTCGGTCCAAGGATCAAATTGCAGAGATACAGAAGTTGCAAGCTATGGTACGATTAACGTTTCTGATGAGATTTTCCTTTTCGTTTCTGTGCTCTTTAAAAATAGATATCTTATTGACAAGTAGTAATGACAAGTTTTGTTGTTGTTGTGCATAATACATCTTGTTTCTTATTAAAAAAATGATAACGAGGCTTTTTGACGTTGGGCTTGAGAGAGTTTATCTGGTACCACTTGGACTTCTATTGTGGGTACATGTGTCATTTGAGCTATGCGTTTTTTTTTTCGTTACTGAAGGTAACTATGTAATTAGTTCTGAAATGAGGTGCAAGCTTTGAAACTTCAAAATTGTAGTAAGATTTTGTTGATTTGACTTCTTTAGGTTTGAAATTAGTTTGTTAGCGTTTTTTAGGTTTCAAATTAGTTAGTTATCCTTCAAATTATCCTTGGTATTGAAAAGTTATGAATAATGTCTGTTTCTTATTGTCGAATATGTATGTGGTATAATTTTTATTCAATGAGATGTCGATCTTTTGAAGGATTGAATATATTTCTCTTGTATGTTTCTTATATTAATATATGAATCAAGTCATTATGTGTGATATATATGTATCCTCACAAAGCACGAACAGTAATGATCATATTCATAGATGTTCCTTGGAGTGAACTCAAATAGAGGCATTAAAATATGTTTATGATAAGAGACAATTTCATTGATGATTGAGATTTACAAAAGGGATTTAATATCCATGGTGTTTACAAAACACCTTCTCGATTTGAAATGAGGGAGGTATAAGTGTAGGAAGTAAAATATTAGACCGTTTACACCAAGATATAGCTTAGTAAACAACATTATCGAAAATTTTTGTATAAGTATGTGTCTTTTCTGCAAATATTCTTTGATTCATTTCTTTCACAGATTCCAAAATAAAGCCATGATGAGGTTTTTCCCTAGTAGGGCTTTTGCATTCTAGAAAGGGTGGTACGTTACGGCTATGTCCATCCTTTACCTCCCTAGGAAATGTGATATGCCACTTGAATATATTGAGAAACGTTGTCCAAAAATTCTGAGCGTATGTGCATTGCATAAATAATTGGCTTTGTGATTCATTTTTTTCTTGCACAATGGACACCCATTTGGAAAAAGGTAAAGGCTATGTCCAATACATCCTTTACCTCCCTAGAAAATGTGATATGCCACTTGAATATATTGAGAAACGTTGTCCAAAAATTCTGAGCGTATGTGCATTGCATAAATAATTGGCTTTGTGATTCATTTTTTTCTTGCACAATGGACACCCATTTGGAAAAAGGTAAAGGCTATGTCCAATACATCCTTTACCTCCCTAGAAAATGTGATATGCCACTTGAATATATTGAGAAACGTTGTCCAAAAATTCTGAGCGTATGTGCATTGCATAAATAATTGGCTTTGTGATTCATTTTTTTCTTGCACAATGGACACCCATTTGGAAAAAGAGTGATGTAAGACCTTTTTTGAAGATTTTCACTTGTGTTAATGCCTTTATGCGCTATTTTCCAAAGGAAAAACTTCACCTTTTTAGGGTGATGTCCTTTCTATACCGTCTTTGCGAGCGTGAGATTTGTTGCTTCTACTTTTTTCCCATGTCCATCATTAAGGATTTTGTAGAGAAGACCCCGTCAACACCGGGAAGCCAAGTCAGTGAGTCTGCTTCATTTGAAAATACCACAGGGCAAGGTCAAGGATTAATTCAGCCCATTTCGTTGCTTCGTTATCCTTTAAATTCCTACCAAGCTTCAGGTTCCAAAATTTGTTGAGAACATTCCACGTTTCTTTGATCATGGCTTTTTTGCTATGAGAGAGAGTGGATACCGCAGGGCTAGCATGGTGTTTTCATCCATGGGTAGGTCCAAAATGATGCACTTCCTTCATCACCCACCCTATGACAAGTGAATGAGGTTTTGATGTTTCTTTACTTACTTCCAAGGCCCTTTTGTAGAAGATGGAGGGGGTTAATTTTTGTTTGATGTAGGAGTATATTTGGCCTTATAAGATTTCTCCACAAGGCCTTTTCTTTTTGATGATATCTCCATCCATTGAGGAGAGCTTTGTTCTTCTTCTTTATAGAGAAAAGACCAAGGCCTCCCTTTTTTGGTGGGAGGTTTATAATATTCCATCGAACAAGGTGTGGGCCATCTTTCCACAAGTAGTTTATGAATATTCTTTCTATATCCTTGGCCACTTTTTGTGGCATTTCAAATAGAGACATGTAGTAACCGAGGAGGTTGGATAATGTGACTTGTATTAGGGTCCGTCTTTCCGCCTTTTGAAGTATACTATGATGACCATGTTGACAGCCTTCTTTCTATTTTTTCAATAATAGTCTTCCAGAAGGGGAAAAAAAATTTGTGGTTTCCTTTTAGAGGTAATCCTAGGTACATATTTGGCCATTCTCCCTTTCTACAACCATTTATGCTAGCAAATTCTTCAATAATGTCTGTACTAATATTGATGCCCATGATTTTTATTTTTTTGGAGATTGGTATTTTGTCTAGAAAATCCTTCGAAGATTTTTACCGTCTTGATCATGTTTTTTTATGGAGGAGGCGTCTGCCAAGTCATAAAAGAGGATTGTATCATCTATGGACCGAAAGTGGTTGATGCTTAAGCCTTCAGTACCAATTTGAAAACCTTTTATCTACCCACCATATTCCGCTTTTGTCAGTAGGCAACTGAGGCAGTCCATTACCATAATGAAAAGGAAAGGGGAATCCTATCCAAAACCCCGTTTGGCATAAATCTTCCCTCTCCATCTTCCACTGATGATAAACCATGCTAGCTTTAAACTTCCTTCCATGACCGATTGGCACCTGAAGGGATTTTCTTTTCCTCCCTCTTTCCGACCAAATATTCTACAGAGTAGCAGAAATTCAATTTGTCAATGCAAATGGCCTTTTGTCCTGGTGTGGTGGTCCCAATACAACTTTCTTATTTCCTGTTACAAGTTATCCTTCAACCATTTCTTCCTTATTAATGTGTTTGATAAAATGATTGTAGAAGATTGTTCAATGATCCCCCCACCCCCAATGCACACACACTCTGCTTGTAATTTGCAAAAGATTTGGTATTGTAACATCTGTTTCTCTTGTTTTTTGGTTCTATTTCTAAACGTTGATGCAGGTTCAAGATTTCACTGAAGTTGGTCGGGACTTGAAACTCATAATTGATATGTATAGACGTGAATCAACTGATTCGAGGTAGGGTGGTCTAAATTCACTCTATTTGGTTAAGATATTCTATAATGTCATCACAATGAATTATTGTTAGAAGAAGCACCGTTTTGGCTATCTAAAATGGCTATCAATGGATCATTTATTTTGTAGTACAGAGTGAAGAATTACTAACAAAACCAGTCATTATTTTGGTGATAAATTTCATTGACGAATGTTCTTTTGATAATATTGAAAAATATTGTTGAACTTCGAATTTCATTTGACTTAAATTATGCTAGAGAGCACCAAAGAATCCATGCGTTGTGGTACCGATCAATCAATCTAAACAATTAGAAGCAACATGCTCCAAAGATCAGAAACAAGGAATTGATTTATAATAGACAAGAAACTTAGCATCATCCAAAGGCTAAGAGAAGAAAGATTGTAAGAAGGATGCGGGATAATGCTTCTATAAAACATGGGATACTGTTTTTTTTTTTTTTTTTTTTATAAAAAAAATAGAATAACAAAAGAGTAAATTACTGTAAAAAAAGGTACAAAAAGGATGGGAAGATAAGACACTTGCCCTTACGAACATTGGAGCTGTTTGTAAATTAGTGTTATACTCAGTAAAAACTTATAGTACTAACGAGTTTTATATGTAGTTTTAGGATCCTTGTCAGTGAGTAAAACCTTGGAGAAGCTTATGAGAGATTTTCTTTGGTAGGGATCGAGGAAGGGAAGGGGTCGCATTTGGTGGAGACAAAATAGACATTGAGTTCCCTTCTCTTTTGGACTTATTTTTTTGTATGTCCTTGTATTCTTTCATTTGTTCAATGAAAGTTCAGTTTCTTTTTTTTTTTTTAATTTTTAAAATAGACATTTGGGGACATTGGATGTTTAAATATAGGGGGATTTAAGGGCCGTAACAATGTTTTGGCTCACTGGCTTTGGTGTTTCCATCATGAATATTGGGCAGAAGGTTGTTATGAGCAAATATGGGCCGTTTGAAGAATTGGTTTGGTTGTCCAGCCGAATAAATCTTGAAATATAATGTTCGACATATTTAAATTGGTAAATTTCATATGAATGGTTAGAAATTGGTTTGACTTCCCTCTCATTCTCCTCAAGTTCTTGTCCTGTTTGTATATATTCTTGAAATATTAAAGAATTTTGCCCACTCAAGTCTTGCGCTTCAATTTCAAAGAACAATTGAGCCAAATAAAAGGAGAATTATCAACAATCTCTATCAATTTTTCTCAACTTCATCTTCCTCATCAAAATTATTTCTAATTTTAGACAACACTCTTCTTTGCTGAAAAAATCTACACTACTAACATCCATAAAACTTTATCCTTTGCTGGAACAATTGGAATCTAGAACCAAGAAACCTTCATTTTAGCATCCTTGGAGTCTATAATGATGAAAAAGGATCCTAACGTTTTTTGGAAGATCGTCTTTGTGTTCTTGGCGCACTTTCTTGTCTATCTCCACAATTTTGGTGTATATTTCCATGGTGGAAATCTTATTTTCTTGAACATTCATAATCATGATTCATGAATCTTGGAAATTGATGTCTACGAATCTTGAAAATTGATGTTTAAGAGGCCTCACCACAATATTTTCTTAAGTCTTTCTTATATGATCCACGAGACCTTGGCTTAGGTCAAATATTTCTCTGCATTAAACTTGTTGATTTGTTGAAAATTGATCCAAATTATGAATTAATTTCCCCAACATGCAATCGACATCCATCGACCCTTCTCTGACTTCCTCCAACTGCAAGCATTGGTTCTGCTTTCCTTCAATTACTGCCTTCACGAGGTGGGATTCACATCGAACGGAAAATTTTCTGGCCTTCCAACTTCTTTCTTGTGCTATAAATTTTCTTTGTTGGCAATTTCTTGAATATTCTGGAATTTGTTTCACGACCTTCTTTTGGAATCAATAGTCACTAGAATAGGAATTTCAATGTAAATTTTGATGGACTCTTCGAATAAATTGAGCACAAGTAGAGTTGTTATGTTGAAGTTCATCTTCTGAATCGCAGAATTGGAATTCCAGCAGTCTTCTTGAATGTATTTGTGGTTTTCTTGTCTATACTGATCCTTTTATCTTCTCTTGGACACCTTTCTTGTGTTGTAAATCTCTACTCTTGTAAATGCGCTTGTTGTTTCGTCTTTCTTCTTGAAAAGAAAATACTCTAAAAGGCATCCCTGTGTAAATAAGTGAGTTGTTAAACAATGAGCACAACTCACAAAGCTCCCTTTTGCAATTGGTGTCAACAACAGTTTCTTACTACCAACATTGGCCTGAACGATTGATCCCATACCAATTTGGTGTAATCTAAGTGACTAAGGAGAGTTCTTTCCAAGAAGTCTAACCAGAAGCTTTATTATCAATTAAAAAGGTGAAAAGTACAAGAGGGAACTCTTTATTTATAGAGAATTGAAAAAGAAAATATTAAAAATACTAAAAGATATTAAAAGGAATTAACCAAGAGTAATATCTAATTAACCACTAATTCTACTACATCATAACCATTCGGATTCAGTGATGGTTGTTTTGCCTCATTCTTTGATCTCTCTTTCATCCATTTGGGGTCCGTCGTTCTTTGTTCAATAGGGAATTGGTGTATATTGTGCCCTTCTTTCTTTGATCGAGGAGTTTTTGTTGTATTTGGAGAGGAGACGTTTGTACTTGGAGTCCTAGTCTTTCAAAGGTTTTTCTTGTAAACCCTTCTTTCTTTGTTTGGTTAATCTCTCTCTCAGGTGGTCCTGTCCTTGCCTCTACTCGTTGTAGTCGGTGAAAATTTCAAAGAAGGTTGAACTTTTTGCCTGTCACGTTCTCCATGAAAAAGTAGCATCTTGAATTGGGTTTTAAGGAAGGTGCCCATTTTGATTGGACCATTGTGTTGCATTCTTTATGGTGGGTGGCTGAGGCCTTTATCATATCCTTTAGAGCTGTGATTTTGCTTAGCCTTTTTGGAACCATTTCTTCAGGGAGTTTGACTTATGCTTTGGTAGACGTAGGGGTTGTAAAGAAATGATCGGAGATTTTCTTCTCCACTCTCCCTTTTGTGAGAAGGGAAGGTTTTTGTGGAAAGCCAAGGTGTACTATTTCGTGGGGTTTTTGGGGAGAGAAGAACAACAAAATTTTTAGAGAGCTTGGAAGGTTTTTGAGTGATATTAGGGCATTTAGTAGATTCAACATTTCTCCATGGACTTCAGTAGTGAAGCCTTTTCTAATAACCCCTTTAGGTCTTGTTTCACTTGATTGAAGCCCTTTCTTTACTTTGCCTCCTTTTGCGATTTATTATTATTATTTTTTATTTTTTATATGTCATTAGATTCTTTCATTTTGCATCATGCAATTTTAGACGTTCTTATCATGGACTTACAAGTGATGTTATGCTTTAAAATCATGGACTTACCAGCGATTTTAAATCCATAGTAAATCTAACCTTTATAAGCTACTCGATGATAGCATTTGAAAGATTTTATGGGCAGAGGTCATTGTAGAAATCTATCTTCCGAAGAAGCTCCAACACAAGCCCTCCCTCTCCCCTGCTTTTATCGAGTAGAAAGTACCTTTTTCCCCTTTCTTTGGTTTTTCCAGGGGGCAGGTGTTGGAGGACTAGAAGAGTTGAGGGATGAAATGCAAACTTATTCTTCTCCTTTTTATTTCACTACTCATTTGTGTATACTAAGAAGACAAAGTTAAAGGAGTCGTGAAATGTACTAATGTTTTATTCTAGCTCAATCTCCTCTGAGCTGAGTTAACCTCGTGTATTCTATGTACTTACTCATTTATGTTTTTAATGAAAGAAGTTTGTTGACATGTACGAATATTAGGTGTGTGCTTAGAAATTTACTTCTGCAGGGATGTTTTGGAAGCTAGGGATTTGGAATATAAGGCGTGGGCTCGTGTTCAATCTTTAAAGTCCTCTCTGGATGAACGCAACCTGGAATCACGTGTTAAGACTGCAAATGAAGCTGAGGCTATATCTCAACAAAGGCTAGCTGCTGCAGAAGCTGAGATTGCACGCCTAAGACAGAAGTTAGAATCGTCTAAAAGGTTGGACTTCGATCTGACTGCTTTATTCCTCAAAGATCCCTTGCTAGTTTCAAATTTATACGTATGAAACGTATTGTTCCTCTTCTCCTCTCTGGAACCAGATTAT